GCTTGTTGCAGACAGCCACCCCAGCAAATGCTGCCGGAGAGCGAAGCTTGATCAAGGACACTATGATTCCCCATCTCGTCGATGATATGATCGTGAACAGGATGCCCAAGGGCATGACTGAGGGTTTGGCCGTTGCCGAGTCGATATACACGGGTCGTGGCCGCCAGGATGTTGCCAAGAGCTGGATCGCCAACATCGACATTCACGACCCCGCGACTGGAGCACCCATCCTCAAGGTCAAGGGCTTGAACTATATCAAGCTCGACACTGACGAAAAGCCTGACCCTCACGTCTTCCAATGTGTGACTTGGAAGCCAGACATCACGCTTCTTACACAGGACCAGCTTTCCGTTCTTTCGGCCAACTCAGCTGGCCCGCTTGACACGGTCCTTGACCTGATTGCCCACAAGAATCCCACCCTCAAGGTCCTTGAGTTGAATGTAGATGAGTCCGACAGTTCGACGCTGTGGTTTGCCGGCGAGGACCAGGCGGTGCGTGCGGCTTACACGCAGTACGATTTTGCCAGTGCTGATGCCAAGACGCTGATAACTGTCACGAGCGCCAACGAGTCGAAGAGAGACACTGCCTTCCATCTCATGAACGCATCAAAGGACGGTCTAGACTTCAGCACCGATACCAAGTATGACCTGGCAATTGTCAAGGCACCAAAGGGCAAGGACGAAGTCTTGGCCCAAGTACTTCGCAACCTGCAGACTCTCCTCGCTCCACATGCAACGGTCACCCTAGTCCGTCAAGAAAGCGAGCTACACACGAAGCTTGCAGGCGTTGTGAATAAAGTGAAACCCACACAGACAGGTGACATTGATGCTGCCAGCTCATCGTCTGACGAGACTGTCGATACGCCGCTGTCGTCTATTCCTTCTACGCCACCGGAGCTGGATGAATCAAAGAATGGCGCCATAAAGCAGGAGACATTGTCGTCCCTCCTCAAGGAGAACAACGTCTTCGGCTCCGTGAAGGAAATTGCAACTGCACCAGGCAATGACTCAGTGTTCTTGCTGAGCAAGGAGTCCACGACTGACGTTGCTGTGAGCCCTCAGCAGCTCACCGTCGTCAAATTCCACGCAGACAGCCCCAAGCTTTCGTCCGGCTTACAGAGCGCGCTTGAGGCTTCAGGCTGGACAGTCCGCACTTGCCTGGTTGAGGACTTTGCATCCCATAAAGATTACCAAGCCAGCGCAGCAGTCCTTGTCGTTGACGAGCTGCTGAAGCCTGTGCTCAGGGACATGCCTGAGACACAGTGGGATGCTTTCAAGGAGCTTGTAAGCGGTACCAAGCCGGTGGTGTGGGTTACCAAGGGGGCTCAGACTGCCAGGGTCACAGATCCTGACAACGCGCTCGTTCAAGGCCTCTTCCGTGTGGTACGCAACGAGATCCCGGACGCCAGGCTGGTCACTCTCGATATTCAGTCGGCGCTCAGCGCGGCTACCAATGTTGCAATCGATCAGGTGCTGCGGAAGGTCCAGGCCAGCCACGACAGCGAGACAGAATATGCCGAGCGCGACGGAGTGGTGACCATCCAGCGTCTCATTCCCGACATCGAGCTCAATGACTTCAAGACTGCGGAGCACAAGGGCCTCGAGCCTGTGGTGAAGGGCTTGCACGCCACTGAGGCACAGGTTCGCCTCCAGGCTGAGAAGGTTGGTACGCTCGAGAGCTTGACTTGGTGCGAGACCGCTGTGGGTGAGGTGCCAATGGAGCCTGGTATGGTTGAGATTGAAGTCAAGGCAGTCGGCGTCAACTTCAAGGTACGTTTGAAACTCGCCTATGTATGCGGAGAGTATGGTCTGCTAATGCCTTTGTTTTTGAATAGGATGTTGCAACAACCATGGGTATTGTGCCAGAGAATGAGTACACGATCGGTTGCGAGTGCGCTGGCGTCATCAAGCGCATCGCACCTGGAGTCGACAAATTCAAGGTTGGAGATCGCGTTGCCTGCATGCGGAGTGGGACATATGTGAACCGCGTTCAGTGTCCCGCTGATCGTGTGCATGTCATTCCGGACAACATGAGTTTTGAGGATGCATCGACTATTCCGCTGGTATACTTGACCGCCATTTACGCGTTGTACCACCTTGGAAACCTACGAGAGGGCCAGGTATGATGATATGCTGGCTTCCCTTGTTCGCGCCATCTTGCTGACCCTTTCTGTGTAGTCCGTTCTTATCCACTCCGCAGCTGGTGGTGTTGGTATCGCCGCTATTCAGCTTGCTCAGTACAAGAAAGCAGACGTAAGTTTATGGCTGAGAGCATGTAATGGCTGCAGATTCTGACAGTGGTTGGTCGTATAGGTCTTTGTTACTGTGGGCACCGCTGACAAGCGGGAATATCTGGCCAAGAACTTTGGCATTCCCGAAAACCGCATGTTCAACTCGCGCAATACCAAGTTTGCAGCGGACATCCGACGCGAGACAGGCGGTCGAGGCATCGATGTCATCCTCAACTCCCTCATTGGTGAGCTGCTGGATGAGTCGTGGCGTCTCACGGCCGACGGCGGCATCATGGTAGAGATTGGCAAGCGAGATATTGTTGACCGCAACACTCTTGCCATGGAGCCGTTCGACCGCAACTGCTCCTTCCGAGCTGTCGACCTTTCGTACACCAAGGAGATCACTAATGAGCTGATCGGAAGGTTCGTTCCCCGTCTTACTGCTAACGTGTTATCTTGGGGATTCTAACAATGGCGGAATAGGTTGCTCGAGGAGATTTTCGACCTGGTTAAGGGAGGTCACGTCGGGCCGATCCATCCCATCAGCCAGTACAGCTTCGACCAAGTGATTCCCGCTCTGTCGTACATCCGCCGTGGTCAACACATCGGCAAGATTGTTATCTCCAGCGGTGAAGAGGACCCGCAGCTTCCTATCCGTCCAGCCGTTCGCAAGCTTCAGCTGAATGCTGACGTTTCATATCTCATTGTCGGTGGACTGAAAGGTCTCTGCGGCAGTGTTGCTGTCCACATGGCCCGCCATGGAGCGCGTCACATCGTTGTAATGAGCCGCAGTGGTATCGATGACGAGGCATCGGCACGGTGCATTGCACACTGCGCGGCATGGGGTTGCGAGGTGACATGTGTCAAGGGCGATGTTGGCGACGCCAGCTTCGTTGACGATGTTTTCAAGTCTGCGCCCAAGAGGATTGCTGGTGTGATCCAAGGTGCCATGGTTCTCAGGGTGAGTATGCTGCGCCTGTTGCTTGAGAATATTTGACTGACACCCAGACAGGACAAGCCGTTTGAGACGATGACGCATGACGACTATGTGACTGGTCTCCACGCCAAGGTAGCTGGTACGTGGAACATACACCACGCAGCACAGCAGCAGCAGACGCCGCTTGAGTTTTTCAGTCTGCTATCCAGTATCTCTGGTGTTGTCGGCAACAAGGGTCAAGCCAACTACGCTGCCGCGAACGCGTTCTTGGATGCGTTTGCCTACTACCGGCAGGCAAAGGGACTGCACGCCAACACGGTCGACCTGGGAGCCATTCAGGATGTTGGCTACATGGCGGAGCAAGGTGGAACCCTTGAGGCACGCTTTGACAAGCGTCAGTGGACTCCCATTGATGAAGCTATGCTGCGCCGGATCATGAGCTACTCCATTTTGCAGCAGGAGCATCGACCAATCCACAGCGACAGTAGCGCTCAGCTTGTCACAGGTCTGGCATACCCGCTGGTGGCTGACGGATCCGACTTGGCGAGCGAGCCCCGCTTTTCTTACCTGTTCAGCAGTCATGCTGGCGGCAGTGGTGCTGGGGACGAAGCAGGCGAGGGCAACAGCGAGATGGAACAAGCGATCAAGGCGTTCCATGTTCTTCACGGGACGGGCGCCGAGGTCGCGGCGCTGAACACAGCTGCACTGGGCCTGTTGCAGCCGCAGATCACCAAGCTGCTGCGCCTCGAGACGGAGATGGAGCCAGGCAAGCCGCTGTCAGCGTACGGGCTGGATTCGTTGTCGGCCGTTGAACTGCGAGGCTGGGTGCGGCAGAAGCTGGGTGCCGAGCTGAGCACTCTCGATATCACCAACGCGAGCTCGCTAATTGCCTTGAGCGAGAAGCTGGTGTCGAAGCTTCCGGCGCCCGGCGAGGGAAAGAAATAGGTAGTTTATTGTTTGTAACATGTTCTATGGAGTTAGGTGATTGCATTTTGTTAGAATGAATATAACCCATGGATGCGAAAGATTTAAATTTCTGAGATGTTGAACCAGCAGTACCAAGTAGCATCAATTTTTAAGCATCCTTTGATTCCTTTCTGAGACATGATTAATCGCCTATGAATTCGAGATTTGAATTCACATTGCATGATCTGGCCAAGAATTCTAGGTGGTTTCATAGTACTTTTTGAGAATTTTCCCCCAATAGCTCTCGGACGGGTACCCTTGAAGGTCGATCGGGAGCTACCATGATACGCCAGATAGCTTCAAGGTTGCATGAGATATAGCAGATAGAATATAATCAGCATGCTCGATAGGAAAGAGAGTGGGTAACCTATCTGATACCACTATTGCAGCTACTAGAGGCCACTGGACAATAGAATCTTATTAGATAACGAAACGCAAACACACTTTAGAGATATACAGATAAAAGATTTGATAATTCCACCTTTACCTATTATAGTCTTGATTGCTTTGTCATAACTGTGTCAATATATTGAGATAGAAAAAGATAGGTGTGTATATTACGGATTCCTGGTGACTTATACAATATGTAGACACAACATAGTCTATACTATTGCTAATAGGACTACTCGGGTCCGGTACGACCAGGGTCAGCACCGTTCCTGAGAGCCACAGGGTTACTTGAGTACATGACACCAGCCATGCGCGCCACCTATATTTCCTGAGGCTTCTCCCAGCGTGAGCGGCAGCGCGCTGGATGGGCATGTCACCGTGCTTCTGAATTGTGCTGTCTAAGTAGGCCAAGACAAAGAATCGTAAATTCTCGACTGACATGGAAACAAAAGGCATCGTCCAAGGCTCAAAGGAACATTAACGGCGGCCAGGCATAAGCCAATCCCAAACTACGCCTAGCCACGAGCGGTTTCCATCCGGATTGGATCCCTGCGGTCTGAATATAAGTTAGTAGAGATATCAAACCGGCATGTATTTGAGTGGTTCCAGTGAGTCGACAACAGAATGCATCATTTTCAGCTAGTAGATACCAACTATCAACTAAACTTACAAACGGGACTGAATCTTCTCATCCGCAACATGCGAGATCTTGAACCCGCCCACACATAGCTTCTGGAAGACCTGGTCCGGGTCGTACTTCGCCGCCGCAAGCTTCATCCTGCGCACATTCTCCACGCCGTAGCTGCGCAGCGGATCCTGCGACCCGTCCGCGTAGTTCAGGTAGACCCAGTCGAGGTTCCCGTTTTCGATCGTCGCCGCGTATGCCTTCAGCTCCGCGACCCACGCCCGGATGCGTGGGTAGGCAAAGGCCTGCTGTGCTGGTGTTTTGAGTAACACGATGGCGACGAAGAGCAGGCCGTCGACGCGCTGGTTCTGCACGCCCATGACGTTGCCGCCGTTGCGCGCGGATGTCTGGCCGTAGGCTTTGGGAAGCGGCTGGAGGAGACACTGCGTCGTGAAGTCGCCGTCCGGGATTAGTGCTTTGAGGTCATTCACGAGACGCTCGTGCAGCTCGGTCGCTTTGGCGACGATGCGCGCGTCGTTGGCGAATGTCGCCGTGTAGAAGGTGGACTGGTGGTCTCCCGGTGAGACGTCGTACTCGGACACTCCGCCCAGCACCGTCGTTTGTTTACATGTGTCCATGATTGCGGGCAGCTCCTTGAATCCGTGGTATGCTGGGGCGTCTGCAATGCCGGCGAGTTGCGCTATGGCGACGACCACAACTATATCCTTGAAGTCGGGCTGTTTTTCCACGTGAGTATTTTAGCTGCTGGTTAAGGGCGACTTGGGACATACTAGGAGAGGAGACACAAGGTAAGTAAAGAGAAAGCCCAGACAGTCGTACTCATTCGCCCAGAGGCAGCATCAAACTCACCCGTATATGTGTGGAACCAGAGCATGTGGCTATCGGGGTCCGACTCGACGCTGGCCGTGAACCGCACCAGCGCCTCCGTAGCCTGCGGCGTGACCTGCTTGGGGTAGATTTTCAGTCCGCCAAAGATACCGTCACTCTTGAGCGCGTGCATCTTGTAGTTAGTCACGATACCGAAGTTGTTCGAGCCGCCCTTTAGCGCGAAAAACAGGTCGCTGTATTCATCCGCCGTGGCTGTGACGATGCGTCCATCCGCAAGCACCACCTCGAACGAAATCACGTCGTCGCAGGTGAACCCGCGTCGCCCCGTCGAGAAGGAGATCCCTCCGCCCAGGATCAAGCCCCCCACGCCAACGGTGCCGTTCCGACCGCCGGCGACGATACGGCCGTGCTTGTCCAGCTCGCTGTACACGTCGCGCCAGCGGCCCCCGGGACCGAGGTCGACCGTCTCGGAGGCGGCGTCGAAGCGCGTCCAGTTCAGGAGGCTGAGGTCGATGGTGACGCCGTTGTTGATGTTGTTTGCACCGGCATGTGGTGTGTGGCCGCCGCTGCGGACGGCGAATTGCACTTTCTTGTTGGCGAGCGTCTTGACAACGGTCGAGACCTCGCTGGCAGAGCGCGGCCGCACGATGCAGGCGGGCTGGAGGCGTGCCTGCTGCGACCAGTAGCTCTGCACCCGCGCCGTGTACTCTGCATCGTTGGGCCAGAGTACTTCACACTCGATTTGGGCCTCGGTCAAGGCTTGCGCCAGGACAGATCCCTTCGTGAATGAGGGGGTCGTCATTGTAGATTTCGGTGTCAAGACAGGGAGGCTCTAAAAGTTAGCGCGTTGCCCCTCCGAGGAGGGATACATAGAACTGGTAGAATAAATAGTGGAGCATATTGGATCATGCCATATGGGTGTCCCATTGCTGTCGAGAATCTACGCAAACGCGTTCTGTCTGGACGTCGAAAGGTGGTCGGAGATGACTGGCTTACATGCAGGATGACTTTCCAGAGGGGCGAGCGTTAGGGTCCAGACCCCACCATGCGGGCTTACTTATTATAAGGCCAGCCCGGTAATCAAGATCCGCGGCTAGTAACCCTAACAGGATCTTATCACTGTCGAAGCTTTCTGTGTCAGCTTACGTTTGATCTTAATTTCACGCATGCTTATCTTTCTAAGTAATCCTTGTAATTACAAAGTAACGACTCCAAGAATGGGTGCCTAAGAGTAGGGTTCTAATTTGGTCACGGCCAACCGTCATCTCATATAGGTAACTACATAGGCAGAAATATAATCGCCGGTGGAGAATTATGATTAGAGTAAGATAGGCGTGGGGCGCTGACACGACGGAGAACGCCTTGGGATCACGGACACCGTCGCCTCTGTTAGGCACGATGGCGCTTCTAAGGCACAGTACTTAGGTCGTGAGCATTTCCTATGCTCTATCAATGTACTTTTAGAGAGAGGTCTTTCTAGATACATAATCTCAATCCAACGTTTAAGAGTAAAGAATCGTTTCAATACTCATCCTTTCTAGCAATCCGAGAACCAGCACCACACAAGATGGAGCCCATCACAGTCTACTACTCCGGTCAGTACAATATCCCACATCTTGGATGACATCAGCAGACAAACTGACAGCTTCACAGGCGAGGCCTTCAATCCATGGAAGGTATGTCGCAGAAAGAACAGAAGACCTACTACCCCCCGCTGACACTCTCACCAGGTCGTCCAGATTCTCGAAGAGCTCAGCCTGCCCTACACGCTGAAGAACATTCAGTTCGACAAGGTCAAGGATGTCGAGCTCACCAGCGTCAACCCCAACGGCCGCGTGCCGGCCATTATCGACCCCAACACCAACCTGACGCTGTGGGAGTCGGGTGCCATCGCTGAATACGTAGGTCTGCGAACAGTTCCCCCATTTATACCCCACGAGCCCTGACACTGTTCCCCGCAGCTTGTTGAGCAATATGATACGAAGCACCTCATTTCCTACGACACCTTGATCGAAAAGAACCAGACCCGCCAGTTCTCTCACTTCCAGGCGTCTGGCCACGGGCCACCGAACGGCCAAGCCGTGTGGTAAGGCTCCTCTGACGAGTTCCCCGCACACGAGCTCGGTATTCACTGACGAAATCTCCACTAGGTTCATGATGTACCACCCGGAGAAGGTGGCGTCGGTCATCGAGCGGTTTCAGAACGAGACCGAACGCGTGGCCCGTGTTTTAGATGGTATCCTGGCCAAGAACGGGACCGGATGGCTGGTCGGTGATAAATGCACCTACGCTGATCTGTCGTTTTACCTCTGGGGTCTGGCGAAAGACTTGGCTTGGCCGCAGAAATGGGATAACGCCGAGCTGCCGCATTACACGGCCTGGATGAAGAGCATGGCAGAGCGCCCAGCGACGAAGAAGACCATGGCGCTGCGTCAGGAGAAGTCCTGAATGGCGGATTAGAGATGTGGCCGAACCTGTAATACGCGGTAGTGTTTTCGCAGGTTAAATAGTAGCAACGCAGATCGTTTCTTGGCTATATTTTTCCGTAGGATCCTCCTAGTATGATTGGCGGACATTATCCTGTGCATTAACGGTCGATACGCTCGTGCTCCTGTGTGGTGTGTCGTCTTATGGGTGGTCGTATATCAGCGCCGAGGAATCCCCGTCGGATCCTGTCAGAATCGGGCACGAGGATGCAGCTTCCATGGTCACCGAGGCTTAGTAAAGTTTGGCAAAGCAAGGGATCATCCTTCTGTAATTCGTCGATTCGTTTCATCCAAGATTACTTGTCAGATTACTAGTACTATTCTTAGCAAGGAGCATCGGAGAGAAACCGAAGGACTTTAGCCGGAATGGATCGAAGTCCACTAGCACTTGGTACTAGTAGTCTCTGACAGAGATAAGAGACGGCCCCGTCTTACCATGTGCTGGTCATCGTCGAAGCCTCAATCTCGCTTACGGAGTAAAGTTATCTGCGAGTGAGTTGTGTCCCGAAACCTAAACAGATTACCTTCACGGTGTCGCTAATCGAGTTTTATAGAGTAGGATCTATTGCGATCATGGCCATTGGTCGCGATGATAGTGGAGGATGATCAGTCCCTGTCGTTGGCTAGTCGTATATGCGTGGCGGTTGCTCGGACTCCCACTAGTGCGAGTTAGCCCTAGTTAGCCCTAGTTAGCGCTAAGTACCTAGTAGTTCGTAGGAGTTACCCTTGAAGCGAGACTTAAAATTTACATGACGCATCAAAGGCGCCCAAGATTCCACTCCAGATCGACCAGGCACATGCGGTGGCACTCTCACGTTGTGCTTGTGCTTCAATTGAAGTTCACCAGAACCCTAACCTGCACCGATCAGGTCAGTTGACTCAAGCCAGACGGCAGATCAACATGAGTGTCTATCTTTCACCCCGAGGAAGATGGTGTTCTCGAACGATCTGCGAGTGGGATTGGGAGGGAGAAAACCGAAGAGGGTCTGGTAATAATATCAAGCTTTTATAGCTGCGGCTAATGTATCCGTTCATTTTTCGCCCCTTCTACTCCAAACCCACTAGCCACCACCAGTCATCTCGCATGCCTGCTAACTAAAATCTGATAATGCCCTCTCGCTCTCCGGGCCTGGAGATCGTGCCTAAATCCCGTCAGCCCCACTTCAGGACGATTCGTAAGTCTTAGCTACCCTGGATGTTGGTTCGGCAGGTGATTTCATTCGCGTTCTAGGGCACATTCCACTGCGGTACCCGCACGGGGTTACATCGCTTTCCAACTTTACCCTCACTCTCGCGAATCATCGCCAGTTGGAAATGATCCACCTGTATCCTCAGACGTTAGCGGTTCCATTGCTCTGCACGTTCAGATCCTGCAACTGCCAGACTCGGTTTGATGGAGCAGAGAACAGTCCAGACGTGCTGACAGGCGCGGTGATACGAGACTGAGGTCGGCCTCTACCGCGGCACCGCCACCATGGCCCCCACGACCACTATAGGGCCCCCCGCTGGTGGTACCTTTGTATTTGTACATGTACGCACTCACCAGGATCTCTAAGAGCCGCTTATTTGGCCCTCTATCGACTCGAGCAGTCACTGTTGCAATTGAGATATTGGCCCGAAATGGAAGACATCAACACCATGGACATCCTCGACCCGGTCGACCGCCGCCGCGCACAAAACCGTCTAGCACAACGCCGTTTTCGAAGTAAGTCACACCAATGGCCACCCCAGGGCACCGTTCCCCAGCTAACAAGACTCTTTCCCACGAAGAACGCTGTCAGCAAAGGCTCCGACAAAGCGTGGCTATCCAGACCGAAGCTGCTTCGACATCTGAACCCTGTTCATCGTGTACGGCCGGAGACACGGCACCACATTTCCTTACCTTACAATCGGACATCCTCCCGGACGCCACCAAAGAACCCGAGCATTCACTGTTCTCCGACCACATTGACACCTTCCTCATCCCGGACCACATCTTCCCACCCACGCCCGAACATACCCATCTCTCCGACACAGTCACATCGTCGTCGTCGGGCGACGGGGATAACAGAGGCCCATTGATAGGTGTAGAGGCACATCCAGACACGGTGAACCACATCGAAGGCAACACCGGGCCTACGGGAGTTCCACGCGCCGCCTCCGCGCCCACCGCCAGCTGGAAAAGCCCGCTGCACGTCGCCGCGCAGGAAGGTTATGGGGGCATTGTCCAATTGTTGCTCGAGCATAACGCCGACTGTAACGAGAAGGATAGCGAGGGCCTGACCCCGCTGGCACACGCGATCCGGGGCGATCATGAGGCGGCCGTCCGCCTGCTGCTCTCCCACGGCGCTCGGCTCGACTACACAGACGGCCCGGGCTGCTCGGTGTTCCACTGTGCGGTCATCCATCGTCGGGAGGCCCTCCTGCGTCTGTTTGCCACCCATTGTGCCGCCAATCTGGCCTTGCTGGACGCCTTGGATGTGGAGGGCATGACGCCGCTGCACCGGGCGGTCGTCACAAATTTCGAAGCCGGCGTGCGCATATTACTGCATCACGGTGCCAGTGTGCATCATCGAGCCCAAAACGGCCAATAGCCCCTGTTCTGTAATGATCCACGACATAATGAGCAAGCCCTAGATAGAACGCGCATGGAGCGCGCCGGCTACATTGTCTCTCTCCCAACTCCCTATAGATAGAACGAGCAACCCCGTTGTGTTTAGATTAGCGGCTTTTTTTAGCGTAAGGACTCATAATTGAAGTTCTCTTTTTGTGTACTCGTGCTGTAGTCGGATTCATTCTCCATCAGCGTGAAGATGTGGCGGCGGCTTGCCAGTAGCTCAGCCGCAGGAGTGATCCTGATCCGCTGACTTCACGAGGCTTAGTGATTTTTAAGTTTAGCCAAGGTGCTTATCTTAGCTAAGCTCATAGAACGAGTAGTATAGTTATACGGAGAGTAGTACGAAGCCTCATATCCTCGTATATTCAATTCCAACGATCAAAAGTGCGGGCAAACGTGCTTTTGAGAGACGCACCATGTCCATCCGGACGGTCCGATCATCCAACCTCTCATTCCACCGACATTCCCCCCTCCGTCGTGTCAGCGCCCCACCCTGCGAGGCAAGAGGGTCGCTGATCTCCGATGATAATCCGATGCCTGATTATATTTCTCAGTAAGACGAGTGTGATGACCAGGCAGTACACGCAAGCTGGTGAACGCACGCGTGGGCATGATGGATGCCTTGCGATATCGCTGATCCGGGTCAAGCCGAAGGATCTTCTCGCCCCAGACGGTCATTCCTGAGATGGGCTGAGGGTTGAAACAGGCAATCTTTCCTTCCTTCCGCCCCAGCGGCTCGACTGCTCCAGGACGGCGACGCTTCTACTTAAAGCAGCTCGACCCTTTCCGGTGTACCACATCGACATCTTCGAGGCACTGAAGAGGTAGGAGGTCGAGAGGCTGCGACACAGCCATGAGAACCCTTCGATGTTGAGAGCGTCAAGACTGACACATCCTGGAGTGGACGCCCGCGAGATCATTGTACGAGCGCACAGTACTGTCTGCCCTTGCCTCATCGTGATTGTGGCCGGTACCAGGCTCGGGAAAGACACGGTGAATAGTAAAGTTGATTACTTTTCTTCCTTCATCAGGGTATGAGTCCCGATGTTCCTTGGTGTAGTTCCCTTAGTCTTGACGTAGTATCATGAACATTAATGATAGGTATTCACTGTGGCGGTTATTGACCCCCTAAATCAGACACGCCTCGAATTAGATATCCTCGTGACATGTTGCCGTTCATGCCATATCTCCCAGGCGTCCAATTCAATTCCCTGTCGTGGTTACATAGATCTTGGGTATATAGTCGATGATGGAGTTTAATATGGGTATATCTCTACGAGAGAGGCTTTGTCCTTCTCTATATTCTTTTATGAATCCTACTGTTGTTTATTAATTTTGTGTGTGTGTGTTTGGAATGAAGATATAGATAGACAATGAGTTGTGTCTCCCGTAGACTGCTGTCGATATGATACTTATATCTATTCTTCTAGTGCTAGCTCTGTCTTAAAACAACAAGATATAGTAGTATATGAGGAGCTCTAGCTTGAATATCTAGATGTCTACGGGATCTTTTAAAACGACCCCAAAGACCTGTTAGTTTCCGATTCGTGATTCCTGTCTTGCAGATTAGGCCCAAAGATAGTTGTAAATACGCTTGTGCTTGTTGCTGGTTATTACGATCTATCTACTCTAGGGCACTTGTTGACTGACTGAAGGTAGAAGCTGCAGTAATGAACACTTATCTATCCTAAGTAGTGTGCAACATTTAACTATATGTAGCTGAGGTAAATACGTAAGCGAGAGGATATGCGCAGGCCGCTGGAAAAATTAGATTCGTTAAAAGGACAGGTTGTTACACAACTATATTGTATGATTATCATTGCGTGCATCTGGGGCATAGTTAGCTGGGATCCTCGGCAGACAGAATTCCATAATTGTACAACATAATAGTTAGACTTTAGAGATACTTGCTTAGTCCACATGAATTGTCAAGACTGGGAATATAATTTAAACTACTGTATATCTATGGGCTGAGCGGGCTATATTGAACGCAATTCCTTCGAATGCAGACCAGAAATAAACCGTGATTATCAAGGTCACTATACATAGGAGAGATAGAAGTATCCTCGTTTCAGGTTCTTTGGAGCCCATGTCTTGCCAGATTTCTCTTTGCGTCTTGTTCAGAATAAGGACGATGAGGGTAATATAATGGCAGGGTGAGTCTCTATTTAGATTTCTGCACGGGCGTTTTGGAATTCAGGTACTTCCTAGGTTCCTCGCCAGGTTGTATCGTAGAACCAGATACCAAGTCTCTAGCTCCCCACCAAGCGGTTTGGCTTTGGCTTTGGGCCCGATTTGTTATTATTGTATAGCATTTAATACGACCTGTGCTAGATGGCTAGTCAAGATGGACACTATGACAGCGAAGATGGGGACTTACGAATGATTAGTGAATATGTATAAGTAATAGCTAGCGTGAGGCTATCTCATAGTAGCACCTGTGAAACTTCAAGGGAAAATAGGTGATTAAATGACACTTCTCTTAGGTTATATTGTGCAAGAGTAATTATATAGTATAAGTTCTTTAGTTGGGGTCATCCAGCTTGAATTTATCCAAGGGTAGGGGAACAATACTATCCCCTTGGTCGCACTGAAGTGTTGGCGCTGAGGTTGGTATTGGGGTTTGGGGAGCTTACAGATTTATATTGTTACTTTGTGCCAGTCGTAAAAGAATTCTGAAAGATACTTATAGAGTCCAATCCATATATTAACAATTTCTGTGGCTTAGCGGTGATTATTAGGACGCTTGCTGTATTTCCCGGATTGTTTACTTTGATATGCATTTTGCTCTGAAAGAATCTAGACCTGCGACAGTTCTTTTGTCTTCTCACCAAACCCCTCAAAAATTAGGGTCCACATTCATCAATAGTAAACTATCCTCACAACTGCTCATACATAACATCCGTCCGCAGAGTATACTTCGTCCCCCGAAACACCGAATCCCCACCATGAAGCAGATCATACTGCTGAAATACAAGCACCGACCCCATTTTCGGGAAAACCCTCAGCTGCCTCTCCTTCTCCTCATACCGAGGAAGAAAGGACGTAGCACCCCCGAGCAACTTGCCCCCAACATCCAAGTTAACTTCCTCCTCTCCTTTCTCCACCCGCGTCTGCTCGCGTACCAGTTCCTCGAGATCCTGCTCCCCGTCGCCATTCAGATACAAATGAACTGTATAAAACGACTTCTCCTTCCGATCGGGGGTAGTATAGAACGCATCCCAGTGCGGCCTGAAGTACTCCCCGCCTTCATACTTGAGAAACCGGAGTCGTTCATTCAGTCTCGTCAGTTTGTAGGTCTTATTCCGGCCCGCGAGCCCGGTGGCAAGGGGCCGGTTCTCCAGTCGATCGATGTCGAGGTCTTGGAGAAAGGGCATTAGTCGATTTAATAGTTTCTCCGCTAGTTCGGGTGTGTCCCAGATAATACGCCCGCAGTTGCGGGTGTCTGTGGCCAGTTTTTGTCGTCCGTTACCCACGTTGATCATGGCGCGTTCCCAAACGGGTGTGGTCGACTGGGGAGTGAGAGTTGTTGCTTCTGCGAGACGGATTAATTCGTTACATTCTTCTTGGGTGAGGATGTTGTCTATTATTGCTGCGAAGCGGTCCTTGTACTCGGGCAGTGGGGGGTCGGAGGTTGCAAAGTCGATTTTGTGGTATTTGGCTCCGGACGGCGCTTGTGGGGGAAGAAATTTGGGAGTTGTGTGCGGGCTCATGGTTGTGAATATGATGTGATGATGTTTGGGATATGTTATGACGGCGGGCTGGATATCATATTTAAAGTGGCTTCGGGGGCCTGATGCCTAGTGTCTGCCTTACGGGGCTGCCTGGGAGGCTGAGTCACAACATGATCTTGCCATGTCGTCCGTTATATGACCGGTATAATGAATGATGGCTTGTATTGTATCTTGTTTACTGCGTCTGCATTGTTGCGAGTTTCCGTAAGTTCCAGAAACTGCATAATGAGACATCCTTTAAATGGCCCTAATGAGTCCAAGTCATCTTCCAACCGCCTGAGAACATTCTGTGAAATTAGGATACCTAACTTGCGTAAATTAGCTCTATCGTCTATTGTGGTAAGATAAACTACCAACCTAATTTCTGAGATACGCAAAAACGAGTCAAAGCTGCGTTATACAGCCCACCAGTCGGAGACGCTAAGTCATTTGCGCCGATTGCTCGACCCCAAAACTAACAAGTCATACTCGAATCTTGAGGCGAATAGACTGCTTCAACGTAGAATCCACATCTTTGGCTGTTATTTGTATGTCATCGCAATTCGATAGTCATTTGGATGAGGCGATGGTTATATCTCAACCTTGACATGACGGCTCCATATCAGTCATTGCGTAAAGCATGGAAGCAAGTCTATGAACTGATGTGGAAATTCCAATATGCAGGTTCAAGGTTCCCAAAAGAGATCAAGGGAACAATGATAAAAAGACTTAGCGTGGCCTCGGTCTAAATAGGCCCAATCGAACCCAGCAACTGCCACTCAAGAAAGTCAGTTTTACCTTTCATCTTCTTATTAAGTTTATAAATAGAAGGGCTTCAAAGCACCATAGTGCGACTTGATAATAAGTCAGGAGGGTTCAACCCAGGCCTCGAGACGAGGCAACAAAGGCCTGGCCCCGTCGAAGCTCGTGTAAAGACTGTGCTTAACACTATTAGCAATACCAAGGAATACCCCGTATCATACGTAGGTTCCTGACGATCGGACTTCCTCCGGGATCACAATCTGGACAGTCGTGGAGACTTCTAGAAAGCCAAATACGCGTCATATTCTGAATCGTATCTGAGGTCTGAGGGGAAGGCGGGGTAAACCCTTAAACATTAATAAATTTGAGGTCAAAGGGTATTGGAAGATGCGTGATCTGCATCTCTAGTCTGGACAGTCTTAAAATTGGGTGTTGATGATAGCCCAGTGAGGCCATGGAAGTATAGGTAGTATAGCCGCATTGAAGATGTGATATTATAGGTGCCATGTCAACAAATGCATGATATGCGGGGTCTTTCGCTCAGTAATAGATTATCAGGGTTGTCAAAAGTAGTGTTGAGTTCACCGTCGTGAAGCATAATCAGTCTGACCGCATGCAAAGCTCAGTGTTTGATGAAAGTTGCAAATGGAAGTGGACAAATCTCTGCTGGTCACACGGGCAGTGGTTGGGCTTATTGCAGTTAGGCTCAAACATCGAGACCGTTCTCTGGGGGATGGCCGAGGCACAGGCCACATCTGGGGGATTCTGGAATCTGGGGATCGTCTCCAGGGAAATAGGCATGTCACTGTCTTAGGTAATTGGATATTTTCTTCAAGGGATCGGTCCGACAGGATCGGATTACCCGGATCACTTGGAGGTATATTGTTGACTCAGAGGTTGAAAGACAGGCCACCAGGTGCAGGTTATGTCAGCCGGATCAATCTCCGAACAAGCACCAACATATAAATTCACAAACAAATCTAAGACTATTGGTCAATTCTGGAACCATTGGTTGAGATGGCTGTTCTGAAGATAAGAGAATTTTAAAAAAGCCGATCCCTGGCGAATGCAGGAGCGTCAACTAATGGGATGTGGTCCTTAGGTCCGGTTGTGAACCGCAGCCATTATTGGACAATTCCATACAAACAAACTCGAATTGTCAGATCAACCCCTAGACTTTCTATCAATAGTGCAAAGTATAAGATGCTCACGGGGACAGGCACAGACGATAAGGGTTCAGATTCGGTTCTGGGTCTGGAGTACCGAGCGAGTGAAACCAAAAAACTGGGGCCGTCATTTCCAATACAATTCCCCGGAAGTTCCCAAAAGGGTAAGTAGCTGCCTGAGAATTGTGTTCCATTGCCTCCGAAGGGAGCTTTAGCGATGCGCCACATTCAAATTTCCAAAATCTGATGGTCACACGGTACCGTCGCGGATCCATCTCGGCTGGCCGAGACTGATAAATCAATCTATTTTCCATCGCTGCTCCAATTTAGTACTAATGTCTCTATGATTACGTTGGCTTGTGTATGTCTATTATCAAGTGACTGTCATATGATATGACCTAAATATAGACCATCTAGTATGTATTGTGTACACAATACCACCAATCTCTTTTCTTTGAGCGATCGGTTTACTGTATATATCCTAGTACCGTCAATAGAAACTGCATTAAATCCCAATTGCACTATACAGAGCCTCAGGATGTTTAATACGGCCAAAGATCGAAAATAGAAAAATCGGACGGGCGAATTGGCCAATGAGAGTGGAGGTACTGCAACAAGACTACGAACTTCCAGTGAGTAGGGATCCTTGAACATGGCAGATTCAAAGAGATTTTAGACCAGTAAAAGTTGTGATTGGTAACGAAAATCCAATGTTTCCTAGGAAATCTAGGGGTGACTCGACATATCATGGAGTGCCGTGGAATTGGCCAGAGCCATCTTCTGCGTCCTGCAATCTGCGTGTTTGATGACTGCCAGTAAGAGATCAAACCTACGAAGTACTGTCCCTCCTCGATCAGCAGCTTGGCGGTAAGATTGGCAATAGAAACCAGGGCGATCTCTGAGATACCCCGTGACCACATCCCCAGATGCGCGGGCTGTCGAATGTTCCAGGAGTGCACTGTTTTCTTCCAGAACAAGGTGAACAGCCCCGTGACCTGCCCCGACACCTGTTCCAGTGGTCTCGACCCGCCTACTTACCGACACCTTGGGGAAGCGCCCACCTGAAGGCCCACCTTGAGCTTCTTCCGTCCGCCGCGCCGGGTTGCCCAAACAAGGAAGCCGAGTCCGCCACTGCCACTGCCATGTATCCTCTGGTATCTAGTACTTGGTCTTTATTTTTATTTTTATTTTTATTTTTCTTTCTGTTTAATCTTATTTTATTTTTTTCAGTGGTAACATTGTGTTCTCGGAGCAAGATAGCGTGGTTGTGACAAGTGATCCTCGTAGGGCATCTAGATAATTATGATATCAAACTGTAGTCATCAGCCCGTCACGCTCGCGATATCATACGAACATCCAAGTTAACAAAGTTGGCTTTGATTGATCTCAAATTACATATCTACGCTCATCGAGTCATCACTAAGTAGCATGTTGGTGGTTTTACTTGTTTTACTTGAAACATGACAATGGTAGTAGGGTGCTAGTGTTGTAGAATAGCCCCATCCAGGATATCAACAGGATGAAGGTAAGAATATCAATTTCATGAGTAGAAACGTGGTGATCAGCATTCCCCTTTCTTGCCACGAAGAAAGACCAAGTGACCACTGATGGTGGGCCCAAAGTCTTCATCGTTCATGCATTCCCCCGGGTCTGGACCGAACCCACCATTCACGGCTCCCTCGCAGCCTTCCTCTTTTGGCTTCCTTACCAACTTTTTCCTCTGCTCACATGAGGCCTCTTGACATTCCCGGACCCAGAGTAATTCTTTCCCCCCGGCAGTCTCCAATGTCCATCGTGAAGTATATAAGTATGCCATTTCTCGTGTGGAAATGACTGACTAGACATCATCAATTGAATCTCTTACTGCGCTCCAGTTCCCAACCGAACTTAGTGAAGACAGTCGCTGCAAACCATTCACAAGTTTCACCACCTGAGCTTTGCGCTTATCTTCAGTTGATTTTACCTTTCTCTCCGATATACATTTGCCTTACGGAGTATCCTGAACAGCACAATGTCTGTCTCTATTGAAACCAACGACATTGCCCCCGTCGCTCTTCCCACACAGGCGGCCCCTTGTCTCGGCTCCAAGAACAGAATGCCTGAGTTCAGCTTGGCTGGAAAGGTCGTCTGTGTTTCCGGTGCTGCCCGTGGCCTTGGTCTGACTCAGGCTGAAGCGCTTTTGGAGGCTGGGGCCAAGGTATATGCTTTGGACCGCCTAGCAGAACCCGTAAGTGCTTCTTTCTAAGGGTTATCCATCAATACATGGACAGAAAGTCTAATTCTCTATCTGGGATAGTCCCCTGAGTCTACGAAATCCAAAAACGGGCCAAGGAGGAGTTGGGGACGGAGCTGCAATACCGTCGCATTGATGTCCGTGACACCGAACTTCTCGACAGTACTATCGAAGCCATCGCCGATACCGAGGGTCGCCTGGATGGATTGGTCGCTGCGGCAGGCATTCAACAGGAGACCCCAGCTCTCGAGTATACGGCCCAGGACGCCAACACAATGTTTGAAGTCAACGTCACTGGTGTATTCATGACCTCCAAGGCAGTTGCTAAGCAAATGATTCGTTTCGGCAATGGAGGTAGCATCGCACTAATTGCGAGCATGAGTGGTACTATTGCCAATCGGGTACGTTCTCGTCTTACCGTTGGTTTTGCTTCAATAAAAGTTTCCCCACCTTTCAGTGTCTTTGCGAGTGTCGGGTTGCACGAAATCATCCCGCTCACGCCACTCCGGCGTTCTGTTCATGCCATTGGTTGCTACCTTACAGAGAAGTTACTGACTGGTCTGCCTCGTAGGGTCTTATTTGTCCTGCTTACAACGCTAGCAAGGCTGCCGTGATTCAACTTGCCCGTAACCTCGCCATGGAGTGGGGCCAGTACAACATTCGAGTCAACACCATCTCGCCCGGCTATATTGTTACTGCCATGGTTGAGAAGCTCTTCGTCGAGTTCCCGGAGCGTCGCGAGGAATGGCCCAAGCATAACATGCTCGGACGTCTGTCTACCCCTAACGAGTACCGTGGCGCTGCCGTCTTCCTTCTCAGCGACGCCAGCAGCTTTATGACTGGAAGCGATCTACGCATGGACGGAGGTCACGCCGCTTGGTAGATGACATTTGGATGGCTCTTTCCTTTTTTTCCTTTGCATACTCTATTTTCCTATTATCATTTCTATTGCATGGCGTCGGGAAAGCAAGCGTGATCGGATTTGGAATTGATGGTCTTATCATGATTCTTGTGTTTTGGCCGATAGGACAAGATTCGGTTGGTGTTTCAGCGTTGCAGTCACTGGATCAGGTCTTAGTCGATTAAGTAGAGCGACATTGTACCTATACATAATGCATGAGACTTAATTTGGAACAAGTGAACAGTCCGCCTGAGAGAAGCGAAAGTATGATTGACGATGAACGTTGCGGAGGGTAATCCTTGGAGGGTCTGGGCTGGCAACTAACGAAGTAACGTTCAGTAAGTTTGCATGAATCATCCTCCACTTAGTGCCAGATCTGACCATATATGGATTAATGATGCGCAGGTTCGCACATGACCCACTGGACAATTCTGAACTAAAGCACCACTTGCGCGGCGTTATTCAGATTCCTACGAATGAACAGTCGAGGACACAGGGATGTTGCTTCCGAGTTCCCGGCAAACGAGTACGCGTCGATACCGTTCATTTAATTCATTTAACAACACCAACCCGCCAAGAAATTGTCCATCCGGGGAATCTCCACCCATCAAAGTCAAACTTTTTCCCCACATTCATCCCGCACCACAAGAACCGCGCGCCGTCGTGGTCGTATCCATGGTTGTCCATGTCATGACATCAAGATCCCTGCTATCGAGACCAAGCTAAACCGCGAGATACAGTCATATCAATCACCTTGTTTAAAGTATGGAGTACTGTCTCCTTTTGCCGCCCAACTGGAGCCAACGGTCCAGATACGGGCCATGTCTGTACCTGTCCAATTATCGTCAATTGTGAAGGATGCATGATGTCTTCATGACCGCTACTCCGATCAAAAATAAATGAGATGGATAAAGTCCCGGGATCGCCAGAACCGACTTACTTCTCTCCGTCCGCCACTGAGTGGATTGTTCAATGTCTATGGGATTACCGTTTGGGGCCGTCTACAGACGTAGTTGGATTTGAAATCCTGGGGTAAGAATCATGGGACGAAGTTGGTATAGCGGTACCTACATCTTTCTGTAAGTCATCTAATAGGCTCTCGCCCGACCAAGGGGAACCAACGCATGACCGGAAGGGAGAGATGGGGCTCACATTTTGATGCCTAATCCTCGACTTTTATGTAAGGGATGCAGGCTGACTGTAGTTTCGTCTCGTTAAGTGGTTGCTTACTGCTTTAGGCGATCTATGAGGACGTCACGTTGGCGGTCGTGGTAAGGCTCAAATCCTGTTCACGTGGATCACCTTGTTTCGACTCGACCCGGAAGTCGACTTGGCTCTCGGTTGTTCTCGGGACCATCCCCATCCTAAACTTCGATTTTAGTTTGTTAAACCCTATATAGCATGATGTGATTTTATAGGGGTTTTCTATCTGTCCGGAGCCCAAAATGACGCCGAAGTCTTCCCGTGAGCATCTATGAGATGTTCTAGTGCGTTGATTGCATATCATTTGATCTTAGCGACGTCATCGGATGGGTGTCGTTATCCAAACAAATGGGCAGATTGATAGGTGTCTTCGATATCTGCGGACCAATACATTATGAGTCAGATCTAGGTTTGACAACACATCAATCTGCGATGCTGATACTACGAGTGCCTTGTTTGATGTCGTGAGGCAGGCTCACCATGCCGGGGCTTGTTAGCGAGACGTCTGCTTATACACACCGACTGAAATACCTGAATATGGGCGTGGGATGTCGTGGGATCTATCGGAATTGCCTGAATTGGCGTGATCTCGTGGTTCGATTTGTCCCTGAAGTTGAATGTACCTTTGACTTTGAGGTAGTGCGACTTGGAAATAGGAGAAGGAGAGGATGGATGGAGTCGGTCCCTATCAGACTGTGTGGAGGCGTTTGAAACGTGGTATCCACAGTTTCTAGATGAAAGAGGCGTGGCCTTGGAATATCTCTGTCCAAAATACTCGGATTATTCTTCTGTATACTCTAGTAAGCATAACTAGAGGTTGATATGGGTAATTCATGGCTGTATGCAGGAATGTTCATCCTCTTCTGTGCGCTCTGTTATTCCGTAGGCTATTCCCGTTTGACTACTTGTGGACTTGCCCTTTCCAATTACTTATAGCATCTGTAAGAATCCAGCGATCTCACCGTGAGCCAACCTAGAATCACTATCCATTACTCGTTCTACAATATACCACCTCACAATCAGGCCACCACCTATCAGGATCCCTAGAAAATGACATAGTGAACCAGATCAACAGCGTAGAATAATTGCGGCACACAGACACCGAAACCACCCTCTCTGTTGTCCATTGCCGGTTTATTAATAAGTGTTCAAATCCCTGTACAGAAACATCTGCGAATAGTGGTCTTAATCCCTACCTGAGTAGATTATATCGCTGAATGCCAGACATACTCTGGTACAAACCTATCTCATAGCAAACTTCCACCCCGCATCCAGGAAAGTGTACTTATCTGTAGACACCGTCTACACTCAAAAGGATGTATAACCTAGTCTCTCATACAAGGACACAATCAGCCATCGAATTGTAGAAACCAGCCGAGTGGCATAGAAACAAAACAGGCATTACAAAGATATCCTCGCACATGGCTTCCCAATATCATCCACAACTGCAACTATGATACCAAATGATGATACCTGCGTATCAACATCATCTTTATATTGGCATCCCCGTCCGATCAGCAAGCAGGTAGGTATACTTCTTCCCGTGGTAATACTCCATTTCTAGAGCACACACTGTACTATAATTATAGCACTGTGACATTCACACACCCACGAGGCATTTAGATGCTATACACCACTACACAGATGCATATCGGGAGTGGAATATCTCGGTCTACAAGAAACTCCTGTCCGAGATAAATCCCCTCCTTGACTCGATCTCTCGACTTGAGGTATAGGTCCCACGACGGGTAAAGTTTCTAGCCATTGCTGCAAGATACTAATATGAGATTGAATCACGTTATCATCTAATCTCAAATGAGTATTTAGTACTTCCTAATCCTTCATTGGCAGCGCGTATAGCAACAATCTTAACTTCTCTATCACTTTCCTGGACAGTTGACAAATGCTGGTATATATCTCTGGCTTTGTGTTCTATTGTCTCAATCCTGGGATTTGTTTAGTCGATGATCTGAGCCTGGGTGTTTACGTGGGTTGTCGGTGCTTGACCGTGGAGCTAGTAACCAAGGACGTAGCATTCTTCGCATGGAGAGATGTGAATACCCTCCAGGCCGGTGGATCGCTCTAGGGCATGTCATCATATGATCAAAATACTCGGGGTAGTCTGTCCTGCGCACGTTCACTAAGTATACGGAACTATTGTGGTGAGTATACCTATAGCTGTTTAAATATTTCGGGTACATAAAGTTGTGACCTCTGATCACTCTCTCGCTGGATAGGTCGTTAACTGGTGGTACAGTGGCTTTTATGGCTTGTTAGCATGTTTGGACTTTGCTGGGTGTGCAAATTGCCATTATTGGTGAGTTGCGTGTGTTTATATATATATAAAGCAGTGTGACTCTAACTAAAGGAAATGGTTCTGCGCAGAGCATCCGCCAAGTGCATATCGTTCTCAAGACCGAGTACAATAGTTCGAGGAGTATTTCAAGTAACAGCGGGCATCTATATATATCTCTCTCTTGTAGATTCTCGCACCGAGAATTTCCGGTCAAGTACTAGTACATTGTTCGGATACTACTTCCGCAGACGACCCGTCGAAAAGGAGATTCTAATTTCATCCGTGTTATTGGCTGAGCCCCTGAAGAATGAAGACCCACAATATCCGTATTCTTGGGAATCGTCATGAACTTTTTGATGGCGCTGTTTGGTGTTGTACTCTGTATCTATCTCGCGGGGACACCACCTCGATACTCCTACATAGATCTCTTCATCAATGTTTGTATGTACGTGGTCTTGTAGTACTCCGTACAAGCTAGACCAACATAATTCTGGATTGGGAGATATCGTCAATAAAAACACCCAACTAAAACGCCCTCAGTATCGTAGCTCATACTATACAATAATATACAAGTCCCAGCATCCCCGACTCAACCCAATCAACCAACCTCCGAAACAACCCCCTTCTGCCCCAACCGGTCCACAACCCCCTTCTTCAACCGTAACAGCCTCTCAATCTCCCCCGCCGGCAGACCCTGCCGATCCCGCATCGACAGCGCCTGTCGAATCGTCAACGCATCCAGATACTCCCGTCCCGCAAAACCGGGTCGTCCGACCAATTCCACCTCACGCTCCGCTGCCTTAGCAATCTTTTGTCGCGCGGTGACCACCAGCAGAGCCGGATTCGCCGCCCGGGGAAAGACGGTTTGTACAGAATCCCCGCGTTGGGCGAATGTGCTGGAGTTGGATAGGGTCGGGGCTGGGCTGACGGGGCCGATTCCGCGGAGGGAGGCGGCGAAATCGGGATCCCGGCCGTCGAGGTCGATTGCTGTGGTTGTTTTTGTTAGTTTGAGTTGGGGTTTGTTTTTCTCTTCTTTGAAAGGACGAGGGAAAGGGTCCGCCGGTGGCTTGTCCTGGGATAATGCACGTACCGTTTGATTTTGTAAGAGACGGCTGTTCTTTGGAATGATAGGTTGGGCCTGTGGGAGCACGAGTCTTTGTTTCCGGTTCTTTTTGCGGACGGGGTGCTGAAGCAGGACTGGGAGACGGTGGCTTGGGTGTGGATGGCAAAGGCGAAGGTTGCTTAGGGTATTGGCGCCGTGAGACCGCCTGGGCGGCAGACCTCACGGGTTTCGAAGATGAGGAACCCATGGATGGGTACCGGATGCCTTGTGGCTAGCGTATGCGGAGTGGGAATCGGCAATGTCGATGTTTGAGGCGTGGAGCAGCGGAGAGAGCTTTTGGTTTTGCGGATGTTGGAAATGAAACCTCACTAGCCGAATTGGTCAATGCCTCGGGTGACGTCAGCCATCCATGCGACAACAATGGTTTGTTTTACTGCATTCTACTGTTTCATTCGTGTTTTGATCTCTTGGGCTAGGGATTTGCTTTGATTCTCAGAAATACAAGGTGCGTGTCTGTTCTATTGGCTTGCTTAACTCTGCTACACATGCTGGAAACCGAGGCTGATACAGTAATCTAGAACACAAAACAGAAGACAGTATTCAGTCGCATCGACACTTTTGCCAGTAAATCCAGTACCGGCCAGATTTACCGAAGGCCATCAAGGCGTCTGCCTTGCACCTCACCCAAAGCGCGACTGCCACTGATGAATGCGACCGTGCCAGCCACGCGACCGCAGGAAGGATCTGGAAGAGGGTCCAGGACTGGTAGTACAGGAAGAAGATCCCTTCGATCGAGAGAAGAGAGCCGAGGAAGACAGCGTGAGAAACGGGGGATGCCTTCAAAGCTTTGGGGAGGTGGCAAACGTTGGCGCCGAGGAATAGCCACTGGACAAGTTAGACTAGCAATGGCTGAAGGAGAGTAAACCGACACTTACCACACCAGCAAGAACGGGAAGAGTGCCAAGCACCATCGCCACAAACGCGAGAGTGATGACAATCGGCGGGCTTTGGGGATCCTCCTTGAAGATGTGGTGGATCTCAGGAAGCTTTCCATATCTCGAGACCTCAACAGTTGGGACTGGCTGATCGGGGTTCCGGGTAACGGTTAACTTGAATGCAGCGCCATTGTAGGCCTCGGCGCTGCCAAAAGATCCGATCAAGAGTTTTGCGTCAAGGGGTTCGGTCAAGGAGAGGAATTGAACCGGGAGGTCTTTTTGAGTCTAAAGCCAGCGTCAGCCATGCCAAATAACAGTTGTCCCTTCCGCACGTACCAGCTCAACCTTCGATTTGCCATTTTCCTTCACATTGAAGGGATAAGAGATGTCTAGTCCGGTCTCTGGGTCTTGGAGGAGGAGGAAAACTTGGTGCGCGCGCTTTCCGGAGCTGCCTTCGCGGGCCGTGAGTGTCACCTTCAAGGTGTCGGCACTTCCGAGGGAGACGGGCTTGGTGAGGGCCTTGTTGTCGGGGATGCTGTCAAATTCGGTCGAAGTTAGCCAATTTCTATTGAGTAAAGCCAAGCTGTAGAGTAGTAAACCGATTACGCACGTTTCCTTCAATCCAGAACCGACTCCAGCGCCCTTGGTTTGAACTGACACGGTGGCATCAGTAAACCCCCACGCGGATGCCGCTGCGGTCGGGGCGGCAGTAAAAGCCAGCAAACTGAGCTGGAGGACAGTATTCCACAACTGCATCCTGATTGACAGATAGACACTTGTAACAAACCGAGCTGGACGGAGTGGAACAATTGCGACGTAGGTGTCCTGAATACGTCGACTTGCGGACGCAAGCTGAAGAAACGCTAAGATAAGCGCCCGCGGCTTTGGGGCAAGCTGCGGTCCAGTGACCGACCCTCCGCCTTTGCAAGCCCTAATTTCCCGGAGTCTTCAAGTCGGCCTGCCAAACAATTCTTCCTCGCTTTACGATCGGCTTGATGGCTTCTTCAACTACTGCGACAACCCGCTAAATCGTCAAACATCCCGATAGTCGCTCCTTTACCTTCGCATAATGTTTTATTTTGTGTTTTTCTAGCACCGGGAGCGCCCCTGCGACTGCAGTACGCCTGACGTTAGAACTCCTTCGCCTCCGCTACACCGACGAGCCACCCTGTGATTAACCCTCGGACACCGTCTTGGAAGTCGTTCTGGCCGCTATCGCTCTCTTGTATTCCGCTTATTGGTATGTCAGGAGACGTTTTATATTCTCTTATGCACACATATCCGGGGTTGGACGGCGTTCTGGTGTTTCCAGGAGTTGCCGCTCCTGCCTGGGTCCAATTCCGAACCAGTTGTTCAGTTTAGCACAGTTCACTGACTCCGCCTTGCAACGCAGGAATATACAGGATATCTTGTACCGCGAAACTAAGCTAGTCGAGAAAGCGATCCAAAAGAACCAACAATACCCCCGCTGATCCTTGTGAGCCGGTAAACCTCGCATCGGAAGTGCCGATGGTCGAACTTTGCTAGGAAGCGGTGGGACTATTGTTTATTGAGGAAACGCCTGGAATAAAGGGAACTGCTTGTAAACGGCAAAAAGTGAGACAACTGTTTGAGACTGCTGTTGTTCGTCTTGTTTGCTTAGGGCTCAGTGCACAGTCAACCCTAGGCGGGGGTTGTCAAATCATTCACTCCTTCGTATTCAATGCTGACAACAACCAAAGTGGCTGGTAGATCTTCTGTTACTCGGGGAGAGGCCTCTCCTGCGCCTTCGCTCCTGGATTCGGCTTCTGTAAGTGTTTCTCTGCCTCTCTTTGTCTGCATTGTCTCTGACCAGCCATAAAGAGAAACTCCCGACGAAGCTCTTCCCGCGCTTCAAGGAAAGCAACGCGAGAACTTGAACTCACCACCTCACATCCGTCTCGTTTGGCAGTGTCTCTACCTCCAACTCCGATCACTTCCTCTTTTGAAGAGGCGTTGTCATCAACACAGCGCGCGAAGAGACACCGTTCTGTCAATTACTACGAGAAGACGCCCCAGTGCAAAGGAGCCGAGACTCCGGGGCAGAAGAACGCATCTTTCTCCGGCCAGCCGTCTGCCAGTACCTCGAGGAAGAGTAGTCGTAGTCGCAAGTCTGAGAAAGCTGACAAAGACGCTGTCAAGGCGCCTGATTCCACGGGTGACCAAGCTGTCACTCCTACCTCTACTTCTAACCCCAAGCGCAAATCTCAAGCGGAACAATCTACCCTGCACACGTATCTGCAGAAAAAGCCTGGAGACAGGCGAAAGACCTTGACTACACCAGCTGAGGCATCCGATAAGAACAACCCTAAATCTGACACCAAACACGACTCCAAATCTCCAGCCATGGGTGCCGCAGTGTCCAGCGGCCGCATGACTAGGAAGTCTATCCCAGCTAAGATGAACGGCCCTGAGAGCACTGAAAAAGCTACTCCCAAATCTAAACTGGTCACTCGCCTCTCCACTCCAGTCTCTCGCAAAGACCGCAAGTCGAAGAGTGTTGAAGCTGAGCAAGTGCCCAAGTCAACCCCTCGTGTCAAGCCAGAACCGACTCCCCTTGTGAATTCAACGTCCAAAGCAGCCAAATCCCAAGCCAACGGAACTGCAGACCCAGTTACTCCAGCTGAGCAGACTCCTGTCTCCACCCCGAGCACCACAGCAACCAGATCCCGTCGCAGAGACCGCAAGTCTGCCAGGAAAGCCAAGGCAGGTCGCTCGCAATTAGCGAATGAATCGTCTCAAGCAGATACTTCGACCAATACCGATGCTGAAGACCGCAAGCCAGTTCTCAAAGACTCCGGCAAATCAGCGTCTCAGGACTCGGATAAGGACAGCTCGGAGCCTCAGCAAGCAAACAAGAGACCGAGCAATACAGTCACCCTGAGCTTGGGCCGCAAGTCTCTCGAGTCTTTTGTTCAGAAAACGCTCGAGTCCGCCTCCTATGGCAATGAAATCGCTGACAGCGTTGAAGGAACGCCCGTTCGTGTGTACGATGACTCTTATCACTTTGATTATGATACGGATATGTATCGCAACAATTTTGGTCTGGATGGTCAAATGGACACACCGGCCTCACCTACAAGCTTCTCCACAACCACCTCCGCTGGCGCTCGCATGTCCGGCCGGGCCCGCAAGCCCACTATCAGGGCATTAGAGTCCCTCGAATCAGAACGACGATTCCGCCGGCCTCGGGCCCAAACGCCTGGAAAGGCGGACTCGTCCACGGCTGGGAAACAGAGCGACAAGGCACCCAGCGAACAGAAAAATGCTGAGGAGCCGAAGACAGCGCCAGCAGAAACTACGCAGGCGCCATCTACCACCCCGCAGCCAGATGTGGACGCCTTTGCCCGCCGGATATTTGAGTTGGCCGCTGCAGCCGTGTCAGACGACTTTGTGCCGGCGCCTGAAGCTGACACCTGGCTCGAAGAACTGCGAAAGGAGTACCAGGGCAAAGGGGATGCGGAGATTGCCGCAGTTGCGGCGGTGGTTGAGGGAGAGAGTAGGCAACCCTCGGATGACGAACCTACTACAGAAAAGTGGACTGACGAGGACGGTTGGATGCACACAGGTCAAATCAACGAGTTCGGAGAGGAGTACGTCGTTGTTGGCCCTGATTTTGAGTGGTACAGGCCCAACAACACGTACGGGGACACGCAGCTTCCCGAGCCCCCTGTGCGCCTAAGGTCCCTGGAACAGTCCGAGAAGGACCGAATTTTTGGCTTTCCACCACGTATTGGAGAGCGTAACCTGCCTCGTGCCACCAATTTCCCGTTCATGATGGAGGACGTTTATCACGAACGGGCTAAGATCAAGGCCCGCGAGGAAGCCCGGCAGAAGGGCATCGCCGTTGACAGGTCGATGTCAGTCTCTCAGATTGAGGCACTGATCGGCCGGCACAGCAAGAGCGCTAGCTCGCAATCGTCTGAGACTCCCGCTCCGGCCCCAGCTGCCGCGAAGAGCTCGAAACAGGACAGGCCGTCCCGGAAGCGACGGCGAACGGAGCCCGTTATCCCAAGCGAGGCTCCTTCGACCAACGAATCCACCACAGAGAGTACGCATAAGCCTAAGAGAAGACGCAAGAACACGGTAGGAGCATCGGCGGCGGCCCCGACTGAACCAGAGCCTTCATCCGAAAAGCCGAAGACGCTCAAACTCAAACTGATCTTCTCGAAACGTGAATTGCCGGCAACTCCTTCTGCTTCCAACACGACTAACACATCTACCAAACCGAATAAGCGCCCCCATTCCGCAATCGAGGCAGACGGTGACAACGCCGCTAGCAACGGACCTTCCAAGAGCCCTAAAACCACTCCGTCCAATCCCACGACTACCCCCAGACGCCTCCTCAAGCTCTCCACCCCGAAACAGGGACAGAAGGAAACGAGCAACGCCGCTCCCACCTCCACCCCCGACGTTCCCCCTTCGGCTGATCAGAACTCGCTCACACGCCCGGCGGACGTCCTCGTCGTCGCGCCGCAGCAGCATTAATGGCCGAGTTCCAGAACCACAAAGAAGAAAGGGCTCGCAGAGCCAACGCGCGCAAGAAAGCTAACCCCGATAACCCGGAGGAGCCAAGCTCCAGTCAAGCTTCTAGCTCCGCCGCGAAACCGCACTAGCGGTTGGACCACTGCTACCCTCAGAATACGATAATTCCATTCAACGTTTCTTTTCCCTTCATACGTCTTAGCCCTTTTCTAAAAACACTTTAATCCTTTATTCAAGTGACCCCAAGTCACACACACCCTGATTCATTAGACATTTGAACTATCACGGCGTTATGAACGGTCATCGGAACTAAGCATAGCGGAAATTTTCAAAGATATGGCAGGCAATTGCACGGGCGTTTTTTTTATTTAACTCATGTTTTCGTTTCGCTTCTTTTGTTTACATTTTGTGAGAGGCTCTTTGTGGACTTACTTCCCTTGTGACTGTTATTCGTGCTTTTCTTACTCCCACTTGTATTGTCTTCTGTCCTGTTCACCATGGTTTGATGCCAAAGGTGGCTGGACAAGACACAGAAGAGAAAACGGGACTGTATTATTGCCTCCCTCTTGTACAGTTACTCATGCATTTCGCTCTACTTTTTTTTTGTATTTTCAATGTACGCGCAAATCCGACCACAGGAACGGCCAGGATTTAGAAGCAATTAGTTTACTTGCGGGGTTTAATCGATGTCTTTGCATGTATTCCATAGGATTGATTCCAATCAGCTTGTAACATCAGAATGGGATGATCTGATCTTTCGATGACATTAGTAGCTTCATCCACTCACTTACATACCAAAGAAAAAGATTCATAACGTAGGAAGATATAGAAGCCTGAGGCACCAACCCAAGAAAGGAAACGCCTAACATTTCCATCCCCCAACCAATAATTAACGTAACTCAGTCCATACACCTGACTTTTTCCGCCATCCAACATCTCTCCAAACAAGCACGGTCAACACATACCATCTGGAGCCCACTCATAACTTCATAAAAAAGAGAGAGGCAGGAAAAACAGAAAAAAAATTACATCCAGAATGTCCAACCAACAGCCCCGCGTAGTCATTGACCCGCAATCCCTTCAACGACCGCCGTATCCGCCCCGGCGCGGTCCACAAGCTGTACGGGATATTCGGCAAACGAAGGAATACAAAGTGGCTGCTCGACGGTATGTTTCTTCCTTTCTTCCTACCTTCCTTCCTTTCTTCCTGTTCCTGAGCTATTTATTTTTGAAATGAAGATATGGGTTGCGAGTCTAACAACTCGGCCTACGTTATGTTCCTGGTTGAGTTGAAGATCGGCTGATATTAATAATAATAACGCTGTGGTAGATGGCTTTCGACGATCGTGGCGTTGCCGATTTTGATGTATACGTCTTATGTGCTTTATGAGAGGAGTGAGTGTCTCTTCTTTATCTTCTTCTTCTTTTGATCCTTGTCTTTGCTTTTGTTTCTGAGTTTTGTTATTTGGAGGGGTGCTGATTGAGTTGTCTAGCGTATTTGAATAAGAGCCAGAAGCATCTGGGTCGGCCGGCGCGGGAGGAGGGGAAGGATGGGAGTGCCTGATTTAGCGGGCTTTTGTACTTGTCTGGTTTACTTGTATATTAGTTTGTGGGTATGTATGAAGTACTTCGTTTTGGTTGGGGTGTGTGTTTGTTGTGGGGGTTGTATTTGTATGCTGTAGGACCTATGTTATTTAAGATACTGTGTTTGGTATACTGTTGGCTGACATTGGGGGGTATTAGTAGATGGGCTATGGTGTCTCATATGAATATCTGTGACTGTAGGGGATAATTGAACATGCAATGGTATTTCTTTTGGTGTGGATATCGCGGCTCTTTGTGTGTACATTTTTGTGTATTAAGCTATGTTGTATGGATGAAGAAGGCCTGAAAGACAGAAAAGGTGAAGAAGTAAAGAAGAATATAAGTTTTGTCACGACCTTGGTAAACAATCCCATTAAGCAAAGCACTCTCCCCAGTTTCCACCGGATCTAACAAAGCTCAGCCCCTCGATGAAATCGTCCCGTTTGCACCGGCCATACTTGTCGGCGTCACAGCCCTGCAGCGGGATGACCCGGTCGTTGACCAGTACGCGAACGAGAGGCTCCTTCTCATCCTGGCACTGCATCATCTCGACGTAGGCCCGGGCCCCGAAAGGAACGGTCCAGGCGGATGAGTACCCTTTCGTCTCCTCAGTGGACTGCACCGAAGTCTGAGAGAGGGGCTCAGTCGTATTGTACAGACCAAGCGCGAAGAAAACAGAGGTCATCGTGTTGTCGTGGGAGAAGTCCGCATAGAGGGTCGCATTGAGCGGGAATGTGGCGGGATTCGAGTCCAGCGTGGTATTGGTGCTGGTGTGATCCTTCACCGGGGACTGGGTCAGGCGAGCGATCAGCTCGTTCGCGAAGCCGATCCCCTGCGCAGGCCCAAGAGGGTTTCCTGCGCCGTAGCCGTAGTACTTCGAGACCGACTGCAGGTAGTCATATTGCGCCCATTCTTCCTGGGTGAACAAAGCGCAGAAGGGGGAAATGCGACTACCGTCACGGGTCAAGGCGACGGTGTCGAATGAGCACAGGTCCATAAGATACACCACCTCTTTGCTCGAGAGCTTGGTTCCCGGGAGGTCCTTCTCCAGACGCGCAACAATCGAGGGCGTAAAAACGCCCGTGAACTTGTCCTCTGCTTCATCTCCTACCTTGCTGTTCTCGAAGACCGTGCAGAAACTGTGGTCCAACGTGTTGTTGAATCCTTCGGTCTCGGGGATAACCACGTTGACAATAGGAGCAGGCTGATCCCGCCTGGTCTTAGATTTACCAAGCTTCGCCTTCTGGAAGCCCTCGATGAATTTCTCACCGGATGCGATTACCCGATCCGAGCCCGATGCCCGAATGAAAGGAACGACATTCTTGGCGAGCTCCTCATAGCGCTGGTAGAACTTGATACCTGAATCCACCAACTGGTTCTCTCCAAAAGCCGTAAGGTCATCCGCACCGAGGGAGTAGTTGTAAGATTTCAGGAAGGCATACTTCCCGGAGAACGAGGTAGCATTGTGCTGGATGGCCTTGATGAGCTTGGCATACTTCTCGGACTTGCTCTCCGTTGGATACCGCGCACCGTGACGGGAGAGCACTTGGGCGAAGGTAACCTCACAGTGGTCCGGAACGTCTTCGGGAAGCGAAGACTTGTCGTCGACCGAGAAGTACGGGGAATACTGGCCCCACAGGTGAGAGACTGCGGAAAAGCACTGGTACCCTTCGTCGACAGTATTGCACGACTGCTGTCTTGGGCTGGTCACTGGAGTGCCGGCAACACTGGATGAAGATCAGCCGCCGTTAGAGTAGGGCATCCACTATAGGGCAATGCCTGTCGGGGAACTTACCTTGAGAGAAGGAAGGTAATAGGAAGGAGCACGCTAAGGACAGCCATGGCGCTCACGATTGCAACCCTTTTACTGATAGACAAGCGACGGGACAAGCTCTCCACGCGGGCGGGACGGTCCTCATATAAGCCCTTCATTTCCGTCTCATGTTGATCCTTGTGCCGCTCACGATCCCGCGATATCGGACGGAGATTCAGCCGTGGTGCTAGTGAAGCGGAAGTGTAGTGGGGGTGAAAAAGAATCAGCCTGCAAGGTAAGACATGGTATTCGATCGTCCATGATTCTTCGAAGGTGCAGACGGGGGGAAATAATAATATACGAGAAGACCGTCACGGATGGCCTGAGTTGTCTCTGTGACGCTGATAGGCCGTGTTGGGCCCACGTGGGCACCGGAATGGTGACAAGTGTGCCTGAGGAAAACGAAAGGGAGACGAAAGCGTTCCATAATCCTAGACATGCCTCCGGATTCCGGCCGGACTTTTGTTCAATTGAAGTTAAGATCTGAGGTGCAAGCTTGATTAACGAGTACACGGCCCCATCGCAATGATCCACTCCTCACGAGAAGCCGTTGATTTAGTAGGTTTGATATTGATCAGGGGCGGGTTATCAATCAGTCGACTACAGCCAATGCTCCTCCCACGCTTTCTTTCGGGGTCTGGTTAAAAATGATAGTTAATTTAATATACTTTTTTCTTCTTCTTTTTTCTTCTTCTTTTCTTCTAACGTTCACCCTTTCCTCACTCTCGGGACAAACCATGTATCCCAAGTCAATCGGTGGAGACCTCACGGCAAGTTCAAGATTCACATGGCTACGAAACCAGTCCATGAAGACTGAAATCCTCCGAAAAACGCACAGGTCAAGATGCCAATGTTTCAATGCTTCAATAAATCAATCTAATGACCTAATAAAATCTGGAGGTGGTGCTGTCCACATCTGATAATCTCTACCCGTGATTCCCATTTGATAAGGATCATCGCCGGATGTCGCCGAGCCCGGCAAAGATCCACAACGGTCGTTGACAGCGCCTTGTTGGTTTCTTTCTTCTTTTTTCTTTTTCTTTTCTTTTTTTTTTCATTTTGGTTCTCTCGCTCTTTCTTCCCGTTTTGCCTGAAGTCAGGAAATATTCTCATTTTTTAAGGGTATTTCTTGTTCTTGTTCTTGGGCAATGATATTGTACAGGTCTATGGTAGATACCACAATCCCAAGTTTGAGTAGTCAACCAAGCCTTTGAAACAGTAATGGGGAGATCGCTCTCAGCTGCACGCTCAAATCAAAATTAGAGCCGTGGTGGTATCTTTCGTCTAACGGGGTCCACGGTCACAAGCAAACCAGAACAAATCCAGACAACACCGAACAGCCCAAGATCAAGCGACGCCTCACCATTGACACTTCCCAGGTGCTATGTAGAAACAAACCAGCGAGGCGAATCAAACCGACGTCAATCCAAACCGGACAGACTCCTTTCCAACACTCTCAACCAAATGAACGGGGGTAAAACAAACTATAAGCAAGAAGGGGGGAAACATCGACAGCGAAAGCAGACAAAATATATGCAGGAATGTCAGGAACCCAGTTCGCACTAGTCAATAAGAAAGCCATCTGTCTTTCGCCGTTCGAATAATCCAAAAATTTCCATGCTGATCGCACAAATGACACAATTTCCTCCCATGCAATGAGATTCTCGCCTCAGGCGAGATGTATGATATATAATCAAACAATCATCCCCACGAATCTCCTCGGATGCTAAAAACGGCACCCGACGATCCGCAGAAGAGAAAAAAAGAATGTTGAAGAGAGAAGGCGTGCCCCTTTCAAAGTTGCGCGTAGATCCCCTCAAAAGAAACATGAGGAAGCAGGACATAAGCTGGGACATATGAGCCCAATGTCTGGCTTCCATAATCAAGTGCGTGTCCATGGCCCAGGGAACTGTGGCAGTGATCTTGCCTGCTGTTCATCTGCTAGAGTCCCTCGACTTGTCCAGTTACCAGCGGATCTGGTAGCCGAGGCGGGCGGTGGCACTCCGCTTGTATCCACACCTCGCTGTGTGGCATCTGTACTAGGCCAGACCTGATGGTCACGATCCGAGGATTGAAAGGAGCGTGGAGAGGCTGGCCGGGTCGGGATTTGACCGGAAGGCACCAGACGGCTGACGTGTTCGCGGTAGAAGTCCCTCTCGGAGAGATAAAAATCTCGCTCTTGCATCAAGGCCCGAATCTCTTGGGCCTGTCTTTGCAGTGCTTCTGTCTGCTTCCGGATTTCATCCTGCTGGGCCGTGATCTTCTGCTCCATTTGAAGCTCGTTCCGTTTTCTGTTGCGGAACCTCCTCGACGCATCGCTATTGGCCTTTCGTTTCTCGGCTTGGCTTGAGGAGCCGGATTTCAGGTCTAGGATACAGGGAATCATCCCGGGGTAAGGGGGATTTTCTGCTTGGGAACCAGGCAGGACGACAGGCTCTTCGCTCGCATGCTTATTTCCTGCCACTACTGAAGGCAGTCGACTAACTGGCTCCATCGTCGTATGCGGAGTGGAATGCAAATATGATGACGCAGGCTGTGGGCCGGAAGCAGGAGCCGCCGCAGGAGACGACCGTCCAAACTGGCTAAAGGTCGAGACGGGTGTCGTAGGACTCGTCTCCTGAGGGCTCGGGTTTGGTGTCGGGTTAGCACTTGTCCGGCGGCTATGGAAGGTTGGTGTGGAATGAACGGACACTGGAACAGGCTGTTGATATCCTGACACGGACATCGGCTGTCCAGTTGCCAAATCCACAGGCAAGGGTGAACCAGGCGCCACAGTATATGCACCCGGTCGTGTTTCTTGCACTAGCGGAGATTGGGAAGAACTCGCTTTTCGTGGATAGCCGACCCCAGAGCTGACAAAGCGAGCTGACGGTGAAACGGGAGCGATGATCTGACGGCTTCCCATTCCTGGAGATGCCGATAGGCGCTTTGCATGTGTTGATGGGGATGGGAGATGTACCGTCGCGGGGGGCAGATGCTGACGAGATGGAGAGGTTGAGAACTGGTCTCCCAGTCCTTCTCGAGCAGTTTCCGCAGTGGACGCGGAGACTGATGGTGCTTTTGCCGGGGGGTTTAAGATAGAATCGACTCCAATGGGACGAAGCTGGGTAGAGTTCAGCGGAGGCTCAACAGGGGTTGAGGGATGCCAGGAAACAGGCCGCGGACGT